TTTCACGTTTTCACGTGAGAATTTTAGTATAGTAAGTTGTATGCCGTAAGAAATCGACCAATCACAGTCGAACGTGAGAAGAATGATCGACTATGATTAGTCAATTTCTTACACAGCGGCTTACTACACAGTATTACTCCCATTGTAGACGGCCCGTAAATCTCTCACGTGAAAAATAAGAATGTAACAAAAGATCAATTTTATTTGAGGAGAATTGATTGAATTGAATTACGTGAAAACATTCTTTTACATCCAACTTCCAAAATATGTTGAAGCAGCATCGTTTTATCGTTTGCGTCGAGTACACAGTATTTTATTCTTCATTTTTTTCACTATGAATCCTCAGCAGCAATAAAACGGGTGCTCTCTCGACGTTCTTTCAATTATCGCATCGCCGTCGCGAAGTGGCACTCGCGCGGGTCTCGCGAGTATACATGATGAAAGAACAAAAAAAAAGAGAGGAAACACAAACAGATTCGCGCAGGTAGGACGCGGTTTCTGCCGGCAGCCGGAGCGACATTTCTGACGGCATTCTACTCGTTTCCGTGCCGGCATCTCGTGACCGCGGATTCTGCGCGCGCGCGCGTTATTTACTCCGCGGTTTCGCGAAAATGAGGCGAGTAGAAAAAGGGAGAGGATTAAAAAAAAGGGGAGGAAAAGAGAAAGAGAGGGAAGGTGGACGCACGCCTTGCTCTTGTGCAAGCTTTGCCGCCGGGTGAAAGTCTGTTTGCAGTCTGCGAGAACACGTTGCCGGACCGCTCTCGAGATGGATAAGGATCTTGAGAGGATCGATCGCGCTCGACCGCCGGCTCTCGTGAGAAATTTATCGGCCGATCACGTCGGCCCTGCCTTTTCCCGTATTATTGTCCCATGTCGAGTCGCGGGAGACGCGGAACCTCTGAGACGAGTCGCGGGATCGGCACTATTTCAATTCAATCAGATCTTTCAAAATTGTTTCCAGAAAACAATTTGAACAGAAAATCCAAATTTAAGATAGACATCTTATCTTAATTCGAGACAGACACTCGAAAGACATTTCAAAGACACTTTTGCCAGAACTGTTTTAAAAGACGTCTAAAAGATATTTTATTTAAGACATCTCTAAGTCCCGTTATTACAAAATATGATGGTTACCTAAAGATTAAAGGTTACCACGGAATTCATGAATGAATTTCATTGATGAATTTCTTGATGATCTTGTCTTATAAAATCCTGATTTTGGACTTTGTGGATTATTTGAATTACTTCCTCCAATTACGAGTGACGTTTGTAAACATCGCGTGCGAAGGTAACGCATTTTCGTTATCTTTTCCGTCACATGGTAGCATCATGGAAATTGGGGATGAGTCACGCCCGCAGTTAAATTTGTTTCCGTGCTGGACAGGCCAGATCGGTATTTCCGCAAAATTACAAACGATATTGATTTGCAAATATAATTCGTGGCTCGGCTTAATGAGCCTGTTACCGCACACGACGGCGGTTCATTATGGGATAGGACAATGCGGGAGACACTTGGAGGAACGCGCATTCCTGTAATGCCTTCGCCGAGCCGATCCGCATTACGTAAGGATCAACAGCGTGCACGTAAAGATTACGTCGCGCTGCGAAAGCTTGCTGAAATAAAGTCAACGGTTAAATAAAGCCGCGTCGGAATTAACGATTCTGATCACGTCTCGCGCGGTGGTTAACGCGATACAATCGCCCTACGTGAACTTTTGCTTCCCGTTATACTACACAGAATGCCTTTAATATTTATTAATTAAATCTCTGCGAGATTAGAACTGACCCTACTCAATCTAAAAATAAAAAGATTTTTGAAAAATTAGTCTCCGCGAGATAGAAAATTTTATTATTTGATTTTATTCGATCTATAATAATAAGAAAGATCATCGGAAAATTCTAAAATCATATGAAACTTCTTGACTAGAAAAGTATGTAAGATTATTGAGGAAAACTTATCGGTGTTCAAGAATCATTAGGAATTTCACAAATTATAAAAAAAATTTTTACAATTTGTCCGAAGTTGATTCTAAGGACAGTTTCGGAACATTTATGTTGTGGGACTCCCCGTCTTAGAATTAACAGTTAGCATTATGCAACTAGTTGGCGCTAATTGTCGCCTTTAAACGTATTAAGAGAAGTAAATACATTATGTATGCATATATATACACACACACACTATATATATATATATAGTATAATGTAGTATAGTACAGTCAGGATTGGGAAAGTTACTTTTTAAAAGTAACCCGTTACCGTTATCGTTATTTGTGGTAAAAAGTAACTCATTACCGTTATTCGTTATCGATTCTAAAAAGTAACGCGTTACCGTTACTTATAAAATCGTTACTTTTCGTTACTTCTTTTTGTAATTATGCAGGAGACGGGCCTACTCATCGATTTTGGGGGGTGAAATTATTTTTGCACGAAACAAACGAATCTGGCAAAAAAAATAAATTGCACGAAACAAACGAATCTGGCAAAAAAATAAATGTCGCTCTGCCCGATGAACCGAGATATTAATGGTTAAAATTGATTACTATTGAGGTAAGGAAATCTGTCAGATTCATTCATTTCGTGCAAAAACGCGTCGAATGACGCTAATTTTCAAAATCGATGAATAAGCCTGTCTCCTGCATAATTACACTATTTTTAAATGTTAAAATAGGCTTCTAAGACAGAATGCTAAGACAAAATATAAATTTTCTTAGTAACGACCAAAACGAGTAGACAAGATGTTAAGAGATTACAATTTAATTAATTAATAAATAAATAATATAATTCCATAAACGTTTCAACTCACAGTCTTCTTCAATATGGTATAAATACAAATAAACATAATATTAAAATTCTTGTCATACATGTCGATATGGGATAATTTCTACATGGTTGTTGATAAAATTAATCATTATATTTTAATCGGAAGAAGACCGACGATGTAGAAATTATCCCATATCGACATATATGACTAGAATTTTAATATTATGTTTATTTGTATTTATATCATACTGAAGAAGACTCTGTGAATTGAAACGTTTATGGAATTATATTATTTATTTATTAATTAATTAAATTGTAATCTCTTAACACCTTGTTTGCTCGTTTTGATCGTTACTAAGAAAATTGATTGCTTTGCAAATTGTTTGAGCATTTATTATATTGTTTATTTTAAAATATAAATTAAATATAAGATATTTAGAAAGATATATATATCTTTGAACATTTCTATCTTTTATTAATATTTTACATACTTATGTTTAATTCTATGGTATTTTATTATATAATAGATGTTTTAGTTTTTAGTATTCTTATGCTAAAGCGAGGATAGTGAATGAAACAAAAATAGGCAAAAAGTTTATTGTTTATGTGATACTTATATTCTTATTATCTGTGATGGCCATGACCTATAAAAAAATAACGATGCAAGAGTAATGGGATCAATTTCGTTACTCGTTACTAAAGAAAATGTAACGTTTTCGTTACTAATAAAAAAAAGTAACGGTGTTACCGAATCGTTACCAAAAAAAAGTAACAAAAATGTAACGTCGTTTTAAGTAACGCGTTACTTCCCAACCCTGAGTACAGTACACACACACACACACACACACACACATATAGAAGTTTAATACCTTAGAATAATTCCACTCATGACATTTAAAAAAATACTTGAAAAATTCGATTGGAGACAATGATAAAAGTTGTGGCCTTGATCCCATGCTGTTCTATATTCAAATCCTTTGTAATACTAATAGGTCTTTTTAGAGTGCACAATAGAAAAACTTAAGCTATATACCCATAAATATTATATCACAGGATCTCAAAGAGTTTGTCAAAATATGTAGTGATGTGTTTTTGTCGTCTGACTAGTAGGTGAATTTAATGTAACATTCAAGATTTTTTGTATATGGCCAAAAATTCTTCTCAGTTGTAATATCCGCAAGAACAATAATAGCCAAAGAGAGGCAAAATCAGAGTTATAATCAAATATTTACAGAGAGAGAGAGAGAGAGAGAGAGAGAGAGTTTGCAATTTATATCTACGCAATCAGCGACGGGCATGTTGCGAACACTTAAAACACACAGTGGCTGCCATCGGATTGGCCGCCTTCGTGCCTTATAGGGTCTCGCACATGCGCGCGGGCGCGCTATGTGTCTTGCGACATCCATCAGACGACCGACTACCATCGCTGGTGTGCTACTCTTTCTCTCCGCGCGTTTCTTCCCTCTGGTGACAGCGACGGTTGCAAACTTGCAACCCGTCGTCACTTCACCTCCATTCCATTCGCGAGTTCGGTCCGATCGGTCCTGCTTGTCCTCGCCGTGTCCTCGCTTTGTCCTTTATATCCTTTTACTTCACTCGGCTTCCTCTTCTTCTTTAGTCTTGTTAGTCCCTTTAATTCGTTGATCCCTTTCGTCTTTCAATCTTTCTAACTGTCTTAATATTTTTACTCTGTTAATTGCCTTATTTTTATGATGTCTTAATTCTTCCGTTAAATTCTTACGTCCTCTTCTCTTACTTGCAATTCATGCTATTTGTTATTTTTCTTTTCTTGACTTCAGTTCTTTTCTTTCCTACGTTCATTCGTGTATTTTGACATTTTCTGTTTTTGTCTCAATCTTCTTATATTATTAATAATTTTTTATCTATCATGATTTTCTATTAATTATAATTTCCTTTAATAGCTATTTTCTGAATTATACATCTCGATCGCTTAAAGTCACAAAATGCTTAATAAGTAATAATACGAATAATGCGCTACTTTTATTTACAAATTCCCGGTAAGGGATATTACATGTGAGAGGGACTTTTTATAGATTCTCAATTTCAAGAAAAATGACAAGTCACAATTAATACGGATTTTTCTCCGAATACAACGTAAGAAATGTCTCGTACTTGCGTCATACTCATATTACCGGCTTCACCTCTAGCATGACAAAACACACAGGGACACCGTCAATTCGATGCGCTAACTAAAGTGTCGATACATCGATTTGTTCCAGCAGCCGCCCAGCTCGCAGGAGCGTGGCAGCGGCTTGGCTGTGGGGCGCCAGGGGGGACCCGGTAGCACGGGGGGGCCCGGTGCGGTGGACCAGGCGAGGGATCTGAGTCCCTGCCTTCCCGCGTCGATGGGCGATGCTGCGCGACCTACCACTCTACCGTGCAGTCCTCCTGCTGCCCATCACCACGGGTCCCATCATACGCCCCTGCATCAGACCCACTGTGGTACCAATAACAACTGTTACGACGGCTCGACCACCCCTTATGAGTCGAGGGATTACGACTCACCTGGAGGTACGATTATCTTATATCTATCAAAGGTAGGAAAGATGTTAGAATCCATTACGAAGGTTAGGCTCGAGAATTGAATTATCTATATTTTGAAATATGTTATCCTTTGAAACTTTCAACCTAATCTTCAGAGTAATCTTTCGAATCTTTTGAACCGTAAAGATATCTGAATTAGTTATAGATTATTGAAGTGCTTTGTAGTATGGTGTTAATAACGTTAACAATATGGAGTCGATGAATTATGAATGAAGTATTTTGTCGTACTTCTCAGCAGGACAAGAATATAGGGGCAGTGGTGGAAACTTCGAGAACGCCAATGATCTAAGCATGCCATCGCAGACAGCGCATCACCATCATCATCACCACCATCATCACCATCATCATCCCCATCTGCATCCGCAGACGCACTCCCAGGAACAACAAACCACGACGGAGCACTTGCACGCCATCCCGAAGCTGGAACCACCGCCTACGCCGCCCTCGCAATCGGAAGACGTTCCGGGGAATGTAGTTTGCGCGGGATGCGGTCTCAAAATATCAGATAGGTTCTACCTCCAGGCAGTCGACAAGAGGTGGCACGCCGCGTGCCTCCAGTGCTCGCACTGTCGTCAGGGTCTCGACGGGGAGGTCACCTGCTTCAGCAGAGACGGCAATATCTACTGCAAGAAGGACTACTATCGGTGAGCCTACGCTTGGATTTGCATTAACAATCTAGACATTCTAGACGAAGTAGGCCTACCTTAGCGTGATTATAGTTCTTTTATCTACGACGTCGAAAAAGAAAGAAAATTTTAATAATACCGATGTTAGTCGTAGGCGAGATTGGCGCAAAGCGGTGTTTGATAATAAAATAAAAACGCGCGCAAAAAGAGACGTGGGAATCAGTGATTCAAATACTAGAAGAAGATACGAAGTTGCTATTTAACGTGCTCGCAATTGCACTTCAGGCTCGAAGAAGACCTCTTAACTTAAGGATCGCTGAATAAGAGAGGCTCGACACTTGAGCCGAGAATCTTGATTTCTCCAACGTGGACGATCTTATTGATGTCCGCGACTGCTAAGCGATTTCGTCCTATTTTCGATGGGACGAGGCCGCGGCTTGTTACGAAGTCGCCGAGAATAGCCGGCACCGCTCACGCGAGCAAGTCAAGCGCGAAGTAATTTCTACCGATTTCCAGGGCCGATTTGAAGAGCCGCGCTGAAAAAGAGTCGCGTCGCCTATTGCGTAACTGGCGTTTCTCCGCGAGCGTGCACCTGTGATTTCGGTCGTTACGAATGCTCGCAACTACCTACAAATTGCATTGATAGAGCCGCATTACGGAGGATAATGTGGAGCGCAATTTTTGAGCGAGCTCTTCCTCGAGACTGTTTCGCTCTGAGAAATACGCGATTCTCGCAACATTCTCGAAACTTCGGAATCTCCTGGGAATTTTCGGATTTTCTGTAAAAACGTTCTTGCGAAGAGTATGATTGAGGTACAAATTCAATCTATAAATCGTATATTTGCGACAGCAGCAGAAAAAATAAAAAAAATTTTTTTAAATATTGCGTATTTGTATAAAAATCTTGACGTTGATAAATGGATTTGTCATATCACTTTTCTCACTTGTCATAACACCATGTTCGAGCGCGTGAAATGTCAGCTCTATGATTCGTGAACTTTACTAGCTAATAATTTAAAATCTATTGTAGTCTTGACATTTTCGTGCTGGAATTATTCGTTTTGAAATATTTAAAAAAATCTGCTCTTAAAAGGAGATTTGGTGGTTTTGGGATTTGTATACGTGACTTTTTTCAGAAAGAAAATAGATGATTGGTTAAATCCTGAAACTCTACACGGAAGAAAAGTGTTTGTTTGAATTAACTGGAATTCTGGTGGAAAATGAATGATCCAGATTTCTGGTTAAATGTTGGTTATTTCAACTACAATTTTAATAGATTTAACCAGAAATCTTGTAGATCTAACTAAAATTCTGGATCGTTCATTTTCACCAGAATTCCAATTAATTCAATCAAACATTTTTTTCTGGGTAGCTTACATTTATAAAAGTAGAGCCACAGTGAAATTCCGTGTTTAATTTGTCGTATAGGAATTCAATGAATAAATTCTGGTAAAGTCATTCTTGTGATGCATCGACGGCCACTTGCGACGCATCTCCGTCGTTATGCAGGGCCGTAGCGGAGGGCCTGATGTCGTGTTGGAATCAGTTGGGATCCCAGTCGGGCCTCACACGGTGTTGATTCGCGCATGTTGTCGCTTCGTAAGTACGGGGCTGGCCCATACGTACCGTGATTCACGAACTAATGGTCACGACTCGACCATTTACCTCCGGCGGAGCGTCGATTGTTGATAAGTAAATCACCGCCGATCTACATTTCGCGAACGGCGGACGTGCACGTACAACACGTGCATCGGCCTCACCCGCTTTCGAATGACCTCTCGAGCCACGTCAATTACCAGCAATTCATCAATCGTCAAATTTTCAGATTGCTTGATGGAACGAGCGATGACGTTTCTTTTACCTAACGTAGTGTAGGAAGCAAGCTGACGTCACTTGTCGTCATTTTCGCGTCAAAATAACGTCTTTGATAACGTTTTTCCTCAAAAGTCGCTAACTTTCGTGATGATTGCAAAATATCGAGGAATAATTAAGCTAACGTTATTTGAAGGATGGTTAATTTGAGACTCGATATTAATTAATTACTCTACAAATACTGTAAAATTGTAATTCTTTGCTATTTATTTACGAGTTACATCAAATGTCTCTTCGCGTTACATGGATTTAATCTCGGCGCGTCCGCCATTGCGGCGTCGTCACGCCACAAACTCATCAATTACGTGGCTTCATCGGTGTCTCCTTAATGTCTTATCGTCTTAAAATCGTCGCGGGCGAACATAACTCGCCCGTTGGTTCTGTCGCAATTTCGGGAACTGCCTCTCCATGTCCTCCCTTTCTCGCGCTGCGCCACCAAAATCGCATTAGCCGATCTTAGGAGGGTGCACCCGAGATCCTGGGATAAGCAGCTGGTTCCGTCGGACGCGTGCTCCGACTTCCGAGCGCGGGTAAAAAAAGGAAAGAAAGACGAGAAGTCACATGCATGCGCGCAGTTCGAGGAACTAAATTAGCCACCGCTCGTCACTTATGGTGATTCGGTTCGTTAGGTACTTGATGCGATCTTAATAGCATAATAGTATAAATAAATATATAATAAGATTTACTTACGCGTAGAGATTCAATAGAGATTTTTCGGGGACTTTGCGCGATGTTCTTGCTGCACAATTCTTTTTCATTTCGTGGCAATCATAAAGGCGACGACAGCTTATTATTTTGCTTTTCTAAGCCAGGTACACAGCATCTCCTCGCTGCATATTCTCTTCGCGGCACTCGAGACGCTCTCCATTTACTGCTTGAAACTTAAGACTAAAGTACAGACGTTTGTATAAAGCTGGTTCTATACATTAGTCGCAAGTCGATCGCAAATTACTTGTTGCGACAGCTAAACATAGGTCGGTATTTATAGTCGATTCTTATATTTAAGAATATTTTAAATACAATCTTAAGGTGTTATGAATCATTATGAGAGCTGTATTAGCGTCTTAAGACGTTCTTAAAACTATGAATTTCCATAGAGGATCCGGCCATAGAGGATCTCTATCCAAATGAAACGTCAATTTTAAAATTGATGCTTTAGATTAGCTGTCGCAGCAATGCGATTACCTTGCAATTAATGTGGAACCAATTTAATACACACTGCATTAGGAAAATGAATCAAAGTCTCTTTTCTCTGAAATGAAGGACTCTGATTAATTGATTTCCTTATGTTTTGTATATTATGCAAAGATCTGTGCTCCGATCTTTAAACTTTTTGTTGTCGCGAATTCGTACGTTTCTTGTTTGGAAAACATGACATCCCGAGAAGGAGGCGTGCACGCGTCGGATTGCATTCGCACGTCGCGCACTCGTGCACGCGAGTTCCGTTGACGAGCGTGCGAGTGCCGCGCGGCATCTTATGTAGCCGGCATCGAGGATGGAATAGCACAGACATCCCGTCACGACACGGTTTTAGCCCAAAGTCTTATCTCGTTGCTTCGCATGCGCGTTTGTGACGACCGACTGTTATTAGCCGGGAACGTCGCGCGTCCATGCGACGATCGAGCTCGACTTTGCCATGACACCCATTTGAATGCTTGTTCTCCACGAGAATTAGTGAATATCTGTTTCATGGATTATTCACTTTCTTAGAGAATATCCCTTAAAGCACTGTTTCCAATAAAACAATTCAACTATCAATAGGATACCAAACAATCTAAAAATACTTCAGAGAGGTTTGAAGAAATATGGACGTTTCTAAGAATCTCTATATTTTTTATATTTTAATTAAAAAATTTTGTTTAATTCTTTACCTGATACATATACTGAATTTTTTCTGCAAAACTTGATAACATATTTTATTGTATATTGTCACTCTGATACTTCATTACGCATTCGTGCGATGAAATCGACTTTACCATATCTACACAATATACAAATCATGTACAAATGCTCGTTCTGCAGGATTATCCATTTGATGAACTATTCACGTTTTCATAGAATATCCCCGATTGTTAAATTTGTAATGTCAAGTGGTATCCAATTTGAGTCATTTTTAATGATTTCTATGAAGTCGCTTTCTCATTCAATATGTCGTTAATTGAATTAAAACAATGAAGTTAAACAATTTAACTCAAGAAAATTAAGTTTGATTCAAATCTAATTTATTTATATTTATTAATTGTAGGTGCATATGTTAAAATGAACAATATTTATTTTCAAACTAAGCAATTCACATACAGAAATAGGTTGATTAGATACTGTTGTTTCTTAATTACATGTTTATTTAAAAATAATACATTTTGACATGGAAATTAAAGATAACAAAATATTATCTAATTCAAGGAGTTGGGGTTCAAAGAACCAACCTGCACTAATTATACGGAAAATTGAGTCCCAGTGAAATGAGTTAGTTTTCACATATATGTACATATAATTTTTAAGCTAGTGTATCAGGTGCACTGTGAGCACAAGTTTTACCATACTTTTCTTTTTTTCACATTATAAACTACATAATATACGAAAATTAACTTATTTCACGGGACCCAATTCCTCATACAATTATTATACCCCGTTATAATTGTATGGAAAATTGGATCATTGTAAAGTGAGTTAGTTTTCACATATTAATGCTTATACAATAGATAGTTTTCGAGCTATATCATCAAGGCATATCAAAGATAATCTGTGAACACAAGTTTTATATTAGAGATGAGCTAATATATAAATAGTTAATTTTTTATAACAGTTACGTCGTTATCGTATATTACTTGTATGTAACTAGTAATTTTAATAGTTATTTTATAACTAATTATTTCGAATTTTGTAAAATTAATAAATATCTTATTTCGATCGGAATCAAAGTAAAGTTTCAATTTTTTAAATTCGGATATATCTACAAAAATTTGCTACAATTTTCAATAAATAATGACATATAACACAAGAAATATATTGATAATATCTATACATCATATAATTGCAAAGATTGATAATAATAAAATCCATTGTTTGTTTTATAAATATTTTTTATTAAATATTTCTAATAGACAGAACTTTTTAATTAATTCAAGATTTAATTAACTCTATCA